AGTCCTTTGAGTTTAAAATATGGTTTCTTAGTACCTTGGCAGAGTTGAACTGAATGCTATTATATCTAGGACGTTTGAAACCAGTAGATATTGTTATTATCTGCTTCTGACTCAGGATAATTTTTTTCCCCTATACTTTTGCATTTGTAAGGATTCTGAAGCTGAAAGTCTCATATTACCTATTGTCTGTGCCAGAGTATCACATCTAATGAAGTTCTTTTTTCTGTTAGGTTTGCACTCAGAAGAGTTTAATGAAGATGCTATTAGCTGGAACACTGCAGTCCGCAATTATTGGTCCCTTCTTTCACCGTTGATATTTTCAGATCATCCTAAGAGGCCAGGCGATGAAGATCCTTCACCACCTTACAACATGCTGAGAAATGTGTTAGACATGAATGCACGTTTTGGTGGATTAAATGCTGCTTTATTTGAAACTGGAAAATCTGTGTGGGTGATGAATGTGGTCCCTACAAAAGGACTCAATACTCTGCCTTTAATACACGACAGGGGATTTGTTGGGGTGCTGCATGACTGGTAATTTTTTATTTTCCTATCTGATGGCATGAACCATTTTTTTCTTCTCTCTCTCTCTCTCTCTCTCTCTCTCTCTCTCTCTCTCTCTCTCTCTCTCTCTCTCTCTCTCTCTCTTTTTGGGCAGGATTCTACTTGGTCAGTTTTGATAATAGGTCGAAATTGGTTTATCTAAATATCATCTGAACATACATGAACATGTTTGCCTCTTTAGAGAATTGACACATTCTTATTTCTTGTGTTAGGATTTGCAATCTGATGTATTTCCATCGTTGAAAAAATTAGGTCAAATGTATTATGCATCGCACATTTACTGAAGTAGAGATTTTGAATTGAGTCTTTTCCCAAGTAGGCTTTTTTTTGAGTGATCAGATTACTTGAACCTCATTTACAGAACTGTCCAAGTTCAATACCTCATTTTCCTCGTGTACTGTGGCAAAAACGGGGACTAGTAAAACTATCTGCGAGTATAACTGCACAAGTAATATTAAAATGCTCTTATGGCCTATAAAGTTTTGATTCTCATTTGGGAGCACCATTTATTTGGAGTATATTAAGAAGTTACTAGTTAAGATTTGGTCTAGTTTAACTTCAGATATCCACCTCCATGGTCTTTTGTTTATGGCAATTCCTCATTTTTCCTTCTCCATCGAGGAAAAAGCCAAGATTGACGTAAATGATCGACAGATCTGTGTTATGAAATCAACGAGTGTGATACTTTGGATACAGTTCACTTGTGCCCCAAATCACTTCAAAAGCATGCCTGCTGAATTTAATCATGCCAGTAACTTTTATGAAACACGCAAGAAAAATGTTTTTTGTTAGTTTATTGTCATTAGACTTTCTTTGTGCAGGTGTGAACCATTTCCGACATATCCAAGAACATATGACCTGGTCCATGCAGAAGGACTTCTCTCTCTTGAATTTGACGAGAAGCCTAGATGCCAATTGCTAGATCTGTTTGCTGAGGTGGATCGTATACTTCGTCCAGAGGTATCATTATCATTTACCCTTCTAAAATTTCACCTTGATCGAAGTTATTTCATGTAATATGATCTGACAAAACAGAAAAATCTTAACAAATTACGACAATTTATTATGTGATAGAATCAAATTTAAATTGTGTTGAAGTATTTTAGCTATAACTTATGAGTAATTACAAACTACTCCTAACTTCTAAATAACTTTTCAAAATATCCTCACACCTTACATGCGTGTAACATGTATTATCTATAATCTATCTATAACTTTCTTAAAACGGAAGAGTAGTTTCTTGAAACTTTTGCCAAGAATACCTTCACTAAACGATAAGTTTTAAGGTTATTTATGTAATTTTCTTATTAATGTTAGGTAGTTACAACTAACAATATATGTTAAGTTTTTAAACCTCAGTTTCTTAATTACTTTTATATATTATCCTTTATTTTCTATACTTAGTTATATCTTTAAGTTTTCACACATACAAAAATATTACCTAGGTTTCGATTTGGTTATCTTAAAGGTAGTTTTAAATGTAAGAAAAAATATTATTTTAAATTTTTTAAATAAAATGTATGTTACTTCATAGTGTGAAATATATAATGTATGATCTTTAATTTCCAAGTATCATATTGTTTACCATAGAGATTTTTTTTTTTATAGTTTTAAAAAAAATTAAAGCGGAACAATTAGTGTATTATTGAATAAAAAATAATTCAACTTACAAAATGTCAACTTTATGTGGAAAAAAGTTATTCGTTAAGTAAAAAATATATAATCTTAATAGCAAATTTTTTATTCAAATTATTCTATCAAACAATATGCATAAATATGATTTAAGTTTATTTGCTAATAGTATGTGTAATATAAATGTTCTTTTATAATAATGTGTTACATAAATTAATATAATTCTAATATTGGCAAAAATATATTAATTATAAAAATAAAATAAAATAACTAAAACTCAATTTTATGTTTTGAATTTCAAAAGTAGCCAATTGGTTGTCATTAGCCAATCTTATTTCAAATCACTTTTCAAAAGTAGGGAAAATAAACTATAAAAAAATGTTGATGAAAATATAAAAATAATATTAAGATAATAGTAAAATATGAAATAATCATCATTTTATAAACTATTAATATATAACTTGAAATAGTAAAATCAGAAAAAAAAAAACATTTGGTTCCCGCCTAAAATTTCAAATTTACTAAATTGGGTAATTTTTTTTTTTTGCCAAAATTTGAAAATCCCGCCTAAATTAATGTACAAAATTATTTTGGTCAGATATTGCAGCTAGTATCTTTACTAGTTGCATGATTTAAATTTTGTATATAATATATTGACAAAACTTGCGACTATTACCTTTATTAGTTGCATGGTTTGAATTTGGTATATAATATATTAAAAAGAATAAAATGATTTTTATTTAAAATTACCTTTATTAGTTGCATGGTTTGAATTTGGTATGTAATATATTAAAGAGAATAAAAATATTTTTATTTAAAAATAAAAAATAGTTATTTATAACTTACGGGTCAATATTAACTTGGACGTAAACGAAATAGTTAATTATTTACAGTTTAATAAATTACTCAATGACTTACTGGTCAACATTAATTTGGACGTAAACAAAATAGTTAATTATTTACAGTTTAATAAATTACTCAACTACTTAATTTTTTTATTTGAATAGCTTACACAAAAATAATCCATTTTAATTAATGAAACAATATAAATTTTATATTTATACTTATTATTCACATAGGATGTTAAATATAGGATAAAATTATACCAAAATAACTATTTTATGAGATCACATTATAGTCAAATCGATTTTTTGAATAAAATTTTTGAAATGACACTTATTTTGAAACGAATATGATCTAATTTATTATCAGTTATGTGCACTGCACGAGTCGTGTACTAATTTTAAATAGATATTTTTATGTAGTTTTCGGACAATTTAAACTTTATATATCATTTTTAATAAATTAATATAGTAAGTTGTATTACATATTGATTCCATATTTTTAATTTATAAATAAAATTTAATAAAAAAATTTTATTTATAAATATTAATGAATATCTTTTACGCGTGCACTGCACGAGATTCATACTAGTTCATTTAAACTGATTTAAACTGGAATTAATAATTTTTCACATTTAGGAGTCTTGAAAATCCCTTAACGAAAATGATAATGCATGTATGGCAATGTTAGGAGATGCAATAATAATTTATGTTGGACAATATATATATAGATAGATGAGTATCTATAATCAATCAATCAAGTATGTTATTGTTCGTAATCTTTTTCAAGTAAGTTTTATTTTTTAAAATAATTACGACTTTTAAAGACATTTTCAAATATTTATATATCTCTTATCTCATTATGACAAGGGAGAGAATATATATATATATATCTAAGTATTCTAAAATATTGTACTAGCAAATATAATTGAACTGCAACCATTGTAATTAAAATAATATGGAACGAAACATTCAAACATAAAAATGATAATTACAAATTATAGTTATAGCAGATTCGAGTTATTTTTCAAAGAGTATGATGGGAAGGATGACATTAGAAAACTATATTATGATGGCAATAATAATAATCGTTATTTTAAGCATAATGAAGATATCAAATAACAAAATCAAAAACGACATAAATTTCTTTAGCGTTTAAAAGTTCACTAAAAAAATATTTATTTTATTTGGGTTTTCAACCCAATGCTTTTTATTTATTTTTATTTATCATAGAGTTCGGTTAATAGTATTAAATATTATATTTGTATTAAATATTATATTTCACTATTCAATACATTTATTATTGTTTATCATAAAATACACCATTGTTTGTTAAACTATGAAAAGAAAGTTATATTATACATAGACTTAAGTAAAAACAACAATGCTAAGTACGTGCATCTTCCTAGTCCCCGTTGGGGCCGTGCTTGTTCCTTTTGCACTTTTG